ATCCTCAACTGGCCATTAACTGGCCATTTTTCGAATACTGAACGTATAAAGCTGCGTTAGTTATCACTTTAACCCATTCGTGACAATGTCAGCCACCGGTGGCTGACAAAGCTCTCACTCGGGACAATGGTATTACTGTGGCTGCAGGGCTTGAAATGGAATTTGGAAAGTTTTCTTCCATGAAAAGAATCTTCATACCCTCGCTCATCTACGCCAGCCCTGGGCAGAGGAAATCTCCTCCACTCAAATTTTATTGAAGAAAAATCTCCTGACGCTGCTGCTATTGCGCAATCCTGCGCGGTCGCGAATGGGTTAAAGGACGAATTCACGCTGGAAAGGCAACCCATTTCAAATTAACTAGGGATGGTGAGTGGTACACGAAAGAAGGAAAAACCATGAGAAACGGCCCAGAACCCGAGAAATGGGACCCCTTCCTTGCCCGTTGATTTGAGCATTGATGCGACTCTCATCGCTGTGCCCTCTTCAACACTACGCTCTCTCACCTATCTAATCACTCGCCACGTATAGACCTGCGGCGAGTGATCAGATGATCGGTGGGCGTGCACTGGCCCACCGCGCCAAGATTGAGCCATAATAGGTCGCCGAGGTCAACTCTTTCGGTGCCAATTGCGCTTCAGTCGCACCCTCAGGAGGTCCGCGGGTCCCTCAACTAGGTGAATTACTCCTTCGACCTTCATTCTAATCGTGAATTCGTCCTTTAATAAAGAAATCTTCTAGTTTTGTATGCCATACTAACTTTTGAATTTGACGAAAATGAAGCAAGTTATGGCTTCGGAAAGTGTAAAAACTCGTGCTCATCATGAATTTTCCTCGTTAATTGATCTAAATTTGTTATTTCTTATAAATTTTTGTAATTTCATACTGATTAGAAAGAGCTCTTCACAAAACTCCCAAATCTGCTTTCAGATTGAAAATTCGTCATATTTGAAGAAAGTTATAATCATTTGAATATTTGTTCAAATTTCAATAGTAGATAAGCTGCTCCACGGTCAACGCCAAAGATCAGTCAACACCCATCTATTTAAGGCGGTTTAAATTGAGAACCATACTCTGTGTAGTACTAAAATTTGGTAAGTCTTGCGAAGGAAATAAAGAAGAGATGTTGTCATAGTATGCCATTTTTAGTGACTGTCGTTTTTTGCTCCGTTTCTCGTTTGCTCGTTTGGTAGGACTCATCAATAATGATCATTCTTTGACTTTTTCACTTTTGTACTTCTTAAACGAATTTTTTGGTGGACGGTGGGGTAGCAGGGCTTTTTTATGAACAGTTTTGGGGAGAATTAAACAACCTTTTCATAGTTCGGCTTTTGAAGAGGGTCGTTTCATGGACTTCGGCCTCTGGGGGAGGGGGGGGGGGGTCGTATTTCCAAATTTTCCTCGACGGTTCGCTTGACCCTGGCGAAAGCCGTGAAAAGCAGCGACGGTACCATTTTAAAGAAGCCAGTTCAGATTAAGAGGTGGTGGTAGGAATACTGTACTTAGACTGAACGAGGAGTTCCCTACGAGAACAACTCACGGGCAGAGGCCACAGCTGGTCCCATCGCACTCTGGACAGAGGATGTTCGGACGTGCACTTGGGAAGATGAAGGTTGGAAAGGCGTTGGTTGAGATGGAGTACCCAATAGAGGCACAGAAGGCGCTTGGAGAGCGGTATAAGATGGCTCACTCTCTTTTTACGTGGTAATTGCGGAAGAAAGGATGCTGGATACCTGGAGAATAGTGCTATCGTATTGTTTCTATCTTCATGCAGGAAGGGGCGCGATGAAATCTCCAACTGCCGCGAGATCAAGTTGACTGCTCTTGGCATAATGTTGTGCAAACGGTTGGTCGACTCTACCAGAAACAGATCGGGTTCATGCCTGAAAGGTCTACAACGGATGCCATCTTCATCGCCAGGCAAGTGATGGAGAAGTATCGAGAAAAGCGCCGACCCTGCTACCTAGCCTTCCTCGACCTGGAAAAGGCGTTCGACCGTCTACCTCGAGCAGTACTATGGAGGGCGCTCAGGAGCCTGAACGGCTTGCCTCTGAACAAGAATCACGAAGGCTGCTCCACTTCGCTCAACTCTCGCTGTGAATACTGAGGTGGGCATGCGGCTGAGCGCGACTGGACAGAGCCAGGAACAAGTATGTCAGGGCAGCCATACAGACTGCACAGAAGAAGGTGCGGGAACAAAGCTGCGATAGTGTGAGCACGTGCTAAAGGAGGTTCACAGGGTCATTCGATAAGAACTTTGCGATGGACTTCGAAGTGCAAGGCAAGCGACCGCGAGGAGCCCCAAAGAAGAGGTGGAGGGATGTGATCAAGAAGGATCTCATGAAATCACGGCCACTTTGAATATGCCTTGAATAGGGCCAAGTGGTGACCTCTTAAAAGAGTTTCGAGCCCTGCAAGTGCGCGAGGGTAACGAGTGGAAGAATATGAAGAAGGGGAAGAAGAAGAAGAAGAGAAGTGTGGACAGTCGTAGAAGGTGGGTCCGATAATTATTGGTTACCGATTGAAATTAGCAGTTCCCTGGAGGAAGGCTGAACACTGAAACTGTACCACTTGGTTGGTTGACTGGGACTGTGGTGCATTTCTCACGAGTGGCCTATCTGTTAGCAGTCATGCATTGCGCGTTGTAACCTCGTACTTCAAAAACTGGTGAGATCAGATGACTTTGTCAACAGTCAGATTGCGGTTCTCTAGTGTGTTTGATGTCGCTAAAATCAACTGAAGAATTCGAAAATTTCCATCAGTTCTTGACGTGGAAGAAAAACAAATTCACAAATAGCACACAACTATTCAAATACGATATGTGTATTTATTTATCACGGGAAGGCTGGCGTTAAAAAACAACAACAATTTACCCAATGTAAAAGTCAACGGGACCTCTTGTACTGAACAAGGAACATTTCATTGTAGATGTATGGGCTTCGGAATAGCTTCTTTATGGTTTCATTCCCTTTTTCATTTCAGAAGGTCCGTATTCTGCGCGAGTGTACGATGGAATGCAGCAACGAAAAAAATTCAAAATTCCGAAAGGACGTCCTTCATCACTACCTGTGCTTGAGCGCAATGTGGGTTTTAGTTTTAGTTTTTTGGTATAAAACAAGAGTACGAGGATACATGGACAATTCCTTCATTTTTGCATGCTCTGTCTGTTAGTGGCAAAAGTGGCTACAAGTTGGCTTGTAAACTTCTGCTTTATAAAGTGTGTCCCAAAATTACTTGCGCTACAATTCAAAAATTCACTAGAAAAGGTGTGTTCATTATTTTCATTTTTCGTGCGCTTTTTTTTATTTTTATTTTCAATTTCAATTAATTGTGCAAAGAGGTTTCATTGTGAACTGCATCGTTATTGGGGTAAAACTGCCGGTATCTCCAAGATGGCACGAGTGATCCAATGCAACCTGCGATCAGTCACATGCCTGAGGAACGACATCACTTAATTTCTTGTATTTCCCCTCGAGATTGATTAGATGGTCGTCGAGCGATGCAGGAGAGTAGAACATTCGTTAACAAGTCTGGGCGAGGAAGTATGGTCAGCGTTCCCACGGACAGAATGATTAAAATGGTTGGTTAGCAATCCACGGTGCTCCATCAGAAGGATGGGGAGATCGCTGAATTTATCGAAGTCATCGATGGGGCGCATTGTCAAGGAGAAGCTGCATTGCCGGTTCCATCACATGCAGAAGTGCCAGTTCATTTTCGTGCAGCAACAAGCAGCAGAGGGTCAAAAGTTGGAAGGTCACTAGCGCGCTTCACTGCCGACACGCAACTCTCGATCGTTTTTCCTGCCGAGTACATGCTCACTGTGGAGCCGTGTTGAGTCGTCAAAACGACCACATTCTTACTGGAAATATCGGGAGTGCCATCTCACGAGGAAAGATTGCTGGAAGAACGGCTAACCCGGCATCAGTAAAGATTTGAAGGTGAGTCGCGGCCAAAGGTGAGACGCCGTTGGTTTTCGCCGATTCATGTGTGAAGATCAGCAAGGACGTGCATACTGTGGAACGTATTGAGGCCTTGGTCCAACTCCCACCTTGGGAGCAAGCCGTGGTGTTTCCAGCGGGACAGCGCTTCAGCCAAGCTTGTTCAGACAGGTGGGAGCTGTGAGCTGGCCGAGTTGGTCGCCGCGAGGAATAACCTTCTTGCTCCCCTAATCTTAATCACTGAACTCTCAGTCTGGTCCGTGATTAAGAGCAAGGCATCCGAGCTCGTCCTTCAAATCTGCATCATTGCAAGCAGCATCAAAGGAAGCCTGGGAAGAATTGATAAGGAATACCCGCGTGCAACGAGAGAACGGTGCAAGAAGCGACTCCGAGTATTTGTGCAGTGGAGGACATTTGAAATCTTATTGTAGAATGTTGTTGTGTATGATGTTAGTATAATAATGTTAGATCCAGTTGTCATTCTGTGGAAGTCCATTGTTCTTTGTTTTTTTGTTTGTTTGTTCTCCAGGTGATGAGCGAGCAGGAAAGATGAAAGGCGTATATGGTCAGGTTTGGCGAATACGGCGAATGAGCAAACGCGGTCCAGCCTAGTTTGGGTATCTCCGGGCGAGAGACCGAAAATATTGGCCGACGCGCATCGTTGAGTTGTCGCTGTTTTTCGTTAAGTTTTTTCGTAACGTTCCGAGCACCAGCACTGAGCAGCGCTCGTCATCGTCGATCCTTCAGATAGAACACATGGATAATGCCATCCCAATTCTAACGATAAGAATTAGACAGCATCACCACTTCCCCGTAAATGTCACATCCAGATAGTGAAGCTCTTTTTTGCCTACTCGAGCCAATGACGGATTAGAGGATTTTGACACCAGCCTTACAGCGCGGACGACGTCAAGATGGGCAGTAGTCGTGCACTGGGACAGAGGGATCAGTCTCCACTACGAAGCGTTCAAGCCACATGAATTCCCCACGTGAGAGATCTTGCCCCATTCTATCACGGCTCCGATTCTGAGCGCCTCTCGTGGGTTTCCAGGAAAAGTCGCATGGGATACGCTTGGATAGTTTCGCGAGAGAAGTTGATTTAGTGCGATGCAAACGCATTATTGGAGCACCGTACGCAGCACGGACCGCTACATTTATATGCCACTCATGGAAGATTCCAGAGAGTTCGGTGATCCTGAAATGCCACAAACTAAGTAGCTCATAACTTTCTTTCTAAGCTGATAAATCGACAATCTGTCACCATCATATACACAAAAACATACGAGATTCTTGTTTTTGACCACGAGTCCGGTCAACTTGGAAGGATTTGCTCAAATTCCACTAGGTAGTGGAAGTGTCAGTTCTCGCTGAATTACTATATACACGTTGGATGAGAGCAGAATTGAAGACAGGAAAATTCGTTTCAATCAAATTTTCTTAGGGGAACCATTTCGCAAATTTCTAGTCACTATGAAAAACTCACCATTGGAAAGAACAATCAACGGCATAATAACCAACATTGTGCAATTGCAATACTTATTTGAAAAGCCCACGATTGCTGAATACTCAACTGGGCCTGAGAGTGGACTCGGGCATGAGTTCACTGCATACTTAGACTTCCCCGATTCTCTGGGTCCTGATATTCTCCCTGGAATGCACAATTCCAGAGAGAATATCAGGACCCATCCTTAGTTTGCTCGTGGTCGTTACAGAAACGCGCTGTCCTTATCCTGAACGACTGCTTCAGTTCCCCGTTCCTTGTACCATTTGGTGGATATAATTGATAGTACTCAAAAATACACCAACGCTGATAATTTTGCATGCCAAAGACCCTCGACATTGTGATTCGGTAATTCAGGAACGGCGGCACTTTCACTCAACCATCGTAGCAATCATAGATTTTGGTGGTCAAACAAGATAATTATGAACAGGTCAACACAACAAACCAAAATGAGCGCAGCAGAAAACAGCATCTTTGAATATTGCTCCAAATTGTATGCTCATGTGTTGTCGCTATGATTTTGGCACACCCTGTACTTTTCACCTCCGTTTTTTGACCATAAATCAGCGTTCTGCTTATGGAAAGCGTTAAGTGGGAAGCTCTGCTGGATGGGTGATTCGGCTAACCCAGCTATCTAGTGAATCTCATTTTTTCTCAGGTTCTCGTAACTCCACCACTCATGCTCTGTGTTCGTACCGACCGAGACAAAACTGAAGCATGGAGTGTGGAACTAGGAGTTACACTCGTCGAAGAAACATATGTAAAGCAAACGGGAAAGCGTCTGAAAAAGGGAGATTGGTTCTATGGGAGCGTTCGGTAATTTTTACTTCTAATCGGTTGTTTTTTGAGCATTGCTACAGTGCGTTTTTGCTTCAGTTGCTGTGATACTGGCTCCAAAAAATTTTATTATGTGAAAAAAGTCCACAGCCTGGCCGATCCACTAGGGTATACATATTGGCTGAATAATTCGCTTGAGGTAATTTTTGCGCTATTTCATCCTTTCCTTTTGTCGCTTCCTGGTGCTGTATCGGTGAAGGAAGACACAACGTATCACATAGTTTACAGATCGAGTTAGAGGTTCGTGGAAGTGTGGTTGAAAACTTGCCAAATGGCAAGGCATTAATGCAGAATCCCCATGTCGGTAAAATCGAAATAGCGCAAAAGGATTATAACCGCATTTCTTCAGAGAGGTTGGTTTCAGAATAATTCTTAGACTCTCGCTCTGTTATTCATACGGTTTTGTTTGATGACGCAGGAAATTATCATTTCGTTCCCTTAACAGGCAAAGAGCTGATCTTCCTCCGGTTGTCTTGCGTATTCTTGTCTAGCAAAAATGACTCGGTTTCAAGACAATTCTTTTCAAAATCACTGCCTCTTTAAGTTTCCACTGAAGAACGATCTTGGAAGTTAATTCAGTGCATACCCAGCACTATCCAGTAAGATTAAGTTTTAAAGAAGACTCAACTTCCGAACACGCCTTGGTGAAATTTGGTGCTGTTCTCATAATGTTGCGTTTATCTTAATCAAAAAGCAAAGAATAACGTCCGGAGCCCTTCTAAGTTCCATTTTCTACAGGATTCAAAAAGAAATTGCTAATTGTTCCGTAGCTCGACTAAATTTTTGCAATGTGACCACCTGGCGCTCAAATCTTATTTTTTGCGAGGATTTGCCTTTCTTCAAGGCTTTCTTCTCCAGATAATCCAAAAAGCATAATTGATAACTGCAAATCAAATTCATCGAGCAGAAACGGAAGGCACGAAGAAACACGTGGTGGCTGTATCATTTGGTAATCACATATCACACTTCATCATCACATAAGAAAAGTGGCACTTTCTGGAAAAGTTAGGATAAAATTTTTCGCATTTTCAACCTGGAATTTTGTGTTGATTTTCGAATTCGCGACCAAATTTGACACAGTTTTCCTGTTGGACATTTTTCCAGAAACTTTGTGGAATTCGAGATTTTGAACAATTTCTAGGTGGCTGTATCATTAGGGGACACACTGCATCTAAACGTCGGAAACCTGTAAATGAGTTTACTTGCTGGTTTCGGTGATAAGTGCTTTGAGATTACAAAGCACTTCCAGGAAAGGCCATGGATATTGAGTCCAATTTATGATCACTTCAAACGGTAAACCCAACGCATAGAGTGATAAGATCGGCCATAGCAAGATTCGTTATGTAGATGCTGAGAAATATATGTTTGCAATTTTAGAATGCACTGATAAATCGGTTTGGACTGTATAGCTGAGCTTCACAGAGCAGGCGATGGGCAACAAGTCGCATTATGGTGCGCGTCCTGAAATGTAACCATGTCTTGGACTGAACGGCAGGTTCCATGCGTACACGGTGCTAAGTGTTAAATATTGCGATCAACTGCTATTCCTTCTTTAACACATTGACGACAACGCGGGGGATATATATCCCGCGCATTGCAGGCCATGTCGGACCGTGCGGGATATATATCCCCCGCACCCATTACACTCATTTTTTTCGCGCACGCCTGATTCTTTTAGAAGTTTCTTGTATTCATTCCATGGAAGAGACCTTGACGTAGCTACAAACATAGTGGCCCTTAGAATGGTCACGTATGCTTTAATTTAGAGGAGGATTTCTGAACCATACGAAATCTTCATTTCAATAAATTTTTCGTTTACTTTTTCTTTTTATGAATGTGAAGATTTAAATAGTAGTAGAAGTAGATAAGGAACCTTAGGGATGACAATATGTGTGTTTTGATTGGAATAATCAACGTAAAATTGCTTTTGAGGTCCATTGCAGCTAGTTCTGAAAATTTCGCTTTTTCATTGTTATTCCATGTCTTTCGATCGAAATTCCACTACTGTACCCCTGGTAGGTTGTGCTCATTACAATTTACTGATTTGGTTTTGAATTGATCATTAGTTGTGTATTTATCACTCAAAATCTGCTTGAACGACCTGAGGCGAGCGCGCCCGCAAAATCGCCGCGGTCCCACGTGGCCAAAAAAGCCAAAACTCGCGTTGTCGTCAATGTGTTAAAACGTTGACGACCGTATGGTATGATGTCATACCACACTTCCACATGGAGCAGATCAAATTATTTGGCGTTTTTTCCTGTTCCACAACGGTCCATGTACATTATTGGATCCGAAAAACAATTTTTCATTACTGATAATGAAAACGCTGGAGGATTAATGCCTATTGATGAGAGAATACGGATAAAGTTGAAGCAATTTCGCACACCGGCGATCATCAATGGTCAAAAAAACCGAGGTCACTCATATAAGGCGCTCGTTCGAATGTCACAAGCCTCCGCCATCACCGGAGCAACTCGCTCAGGAGCTAGTTTTGAATAGGCCGCGGGTTTCGAAGTTCTGGCTCCTGTCGTTCTTATTTTTACTATAGGGAGTCGACTTCCATACATGTTGTTTGAGTCGATAGCCAAAGGAATGTGCACATTTGATCTCGGAGACAGGCACCAAAGTATTGTCCTTGATGCTGATCAGATATGAAGTAGAAGTGCGATCGGTGCGACACATTAGACAGAAGAAGATGATGGTTTGCTTACCTTGGGGGGAGTGGTGAACCAAAGCTGTTTCAGTTAAGATCTTTCACCGCTGCTATACGCTGTAGTCGTTTAGTGGATGGCAGTTGGCCAGCCATCTCCCAAAAAGTGCTTTTGAGCATCACAAAAATCCTTTTTCTGCAAGCATGTTCATATGGCTTGCAAAGAGTTTAGCGCTGAGCCAGGGAGGTGGTTGAAGGAATCTTTCTCGGAAAATTCTTGCATTCTTTTGCAACATGAATGTGTCAGTTGTGATCACTAGAAACAACACACAAAGTTTCACGCATGAAGATTCGGTTTCCGAAGAGAAACAAACTACAAAAACCACACTCTATGGACATCGAAGGTAATTCGGGCGGAGCCAAAGGCGGGCATGGAAAGAAGCGCCTTGGGGCGGCTACGTATCAGGCGACGCAATGAAAGAATCGGGTTAAAGCGTGCGATTTTGGAGAGTAGAGACAAATCGATCGATAGAATAGGATGCAGTAGAAGTGTGAGATGTTAATGCAATAAGTCAAAAGGCCAGAAAGAGTTTCTAGTGACAGCACTCCGTGAACCAAGTGGAAGTTCCCGTCGCCAGCATTTGTGACAGATGTCCGGCGGGAATTTGAACGCGTAGCAGTCCTTCCCGGTTTTTCAAATAATTTACCAAATGCGTTTTTTCTTCTTCTCATTCTTATTGTGAACGATGGGTCTTACGCGGATGGCTGAGATAGAACGATCATTTTTCCGGAAAGAGTTTCTTTAATAGCACCGAGATCTTCGTTCATCACCCGTTATATTGGACTTGCTCTTATGCATGTTGTATATTAATTTAGAGTGGTTGCCATCTTGCGTTTCAACAAGTTCAATCCAAACGTGCCCTGGACATTCGTGAGGTCCATTTCTGTGTTGGCACCCAATGAGGAACTCCCTGTGAGTTATTTCGAGATCACCATTGCAGTGCAGAACCCCCTGCACGATATATCTAGATCTTGAGTCCTGACTGTCTACTAAGTTATCACATGAGAAGGTCAAGCCAGGCGCATCAGGGAATGTCTCGTGATCAGATTCGTAGAAGAGAAAGCTGTGAGTTTGGTTGCATTTATTCTTGTTGATATTTTTTCACAATTGGAGAAATCTTTCCCGGAAATTTTTGCATTCTTTCTCAACACGCATGTGTCAGTTGTGATCACTAGAGACAACATACAAAGTTTCACGCATGAAGATTCGGTTTCCGAAGAGAAACAAACTTACAAAAACTACACTCTATGGACAATCGAAGGTAAGGAGGCGCGGAGCCAAAGGCGGGCATGGAAAGAAGTCCGCTTGGGGCGGCTACGTATCAGGCGACGCAATGAAAGAATCGGGTTAAAGCGCGCGATTTCGGAGAGTAGAGACAAATCGATCGATAGAATAGGATGGAGTAGAAGTGTGAGATGTGAATGCAAAGCAGAAGGCCAGAAAGAGTTTCTAGTGAAGGCACTCCAAGAACCAAGTGGAAGCATTCCCGTCGCCAGCATTGTGACAGATTTGTGACAGGTCCGGCGGTACTTTGAACGCGTAGCAGCCTTTTGTTTTTCGATTTTTTTTTTACCAAAACAAATGCAGTTTTTCTGTTTTTTTTTTGTTCTTATCATGAGTAATGGGGACGCCCAGGTGATCAGTGTGGTGAGGACCTAGCAACCGGGGGAGGATTGTTCGCGAAAGAGCTCCGCTTGATTTTTGTGGTGCTGTGTGTTGGCGGTACGACTGAGGGTGCTAAGGCACTGTGGGATGAAGGAGGAACGAGAGAGATGAGAGGTGCCGGCAGCTTTACGAAGCTTCGTCAGTGAGATGATGATAGCCGCTGAGTGGAATGTGTCAGGAAACTTGGATCCAGACGTTCTAGGAGAGTTTCTGAGTTATTACCAAATGTCAATCGCCGATTGGGCCATCAACGAGTGAGATTTTGGAGAGCGGTCAAATTGATGGTTCGGAGTGTCTTTGGGGGGAGGACTCCGTCGACGCTTTCTTCGAATGGCGAGGTGGCTGGGAGCCCCAGGCATGTTCTCGTCCACATTTGCGTTTTCTTTATGAAACGGCTCGAGGATGTTAGTTTTGTTCGCTCTGGCAGGTAACCATAGAAAACAGAGTGCCGGTGAAACCCGAAAAAGACGCTGTTTTCTGGAAGTTGTCACTGTACACAGTGCGCCGGTGTGTACGCATTTTAGTTGTGGTTTACGGTAGATCTTCAAACATTTTGTTTGTGTGGGATGCGTAAGGACTTGGAAGTGCGCGAGGGGGAGCTTGGTTGATAGCAGTCCTCTCTGTCTGCTTTGACGGATTGAGAGGAAAGGTGGGCGTCTAGGGGGAGAGAGGAGGGTCAGAAAAGCGAAGCCGTCAGAGAATCGAAGTGTTGTCTTCAACGGGGGAAGTCTCCTAGATGGTGTGTGGAAGGCTGCTTTGGTTTGAATTTGATGGATGACCGTGCGTAACGGGAAGGTCACCAGGCCGGCCGGCGATTTGGCGAAGGAGTTGTAATGACCGCGAAGTCGCGGCTCGAGGCGTGCTGAGGCTCAAGAACTGGCGTTCTCATAATCTGTAAGCGGATTCTTTGAACGTACGTGATAGAGCAGGAGGAAGCGGCAGTGCGGCGCCCGGATTGCGCTGATCGAGAAGTCGTGGGAACGGTCCTCGGAGAGTCTTTCCTGTGTGTGCTTTCGGGAAGGATGAAGCGCAGGAAAGCGTGGCTAAAGCGTCTTTATGTTATCAGATCGCTGCTTCGTGAGAGATGAAGCCAGGAAAGCTTCTAACTTCTTATTATGCACACTTTGCCCGATTCGTTCGTCTGCTTCGTTCTTGAGCGCATCTGTTGTCGCGAACTGCGGTGGGTGCGGGATCCGCTTTTCCACGGCAGTGTCGTTGTCCAGCAAGTCCCGGTTCCAGTGCGATGCGGCTGCAGGACGAGGTCGGCACATTCCATGGTCGTATTCGAGGTTGTCTGAGCGCATGGCGGCGTGTTCTGGTCGGCTCGGTGTGAGCGTGTTGTCGCGGGGAGCGAGACGACCTGAGGGGGTGGGGTCGTGAGGCGCGGCTGGACACAGGGGGGCGGGGCCGGGGCGGGGGGGGGGGGGGCCCGGGCATCATGGGGCTTGCGTCGGCATGACCGGTGGATGCCGGAGCGGAGGGCGTGGAGAGGCAGAGGGGTGGTGCTGGTGATGGGGTGCTTGGTGATAGAGCGTTGAACTTTGATTTTGTCTCGTATGTGTTCATTCCGAATGCGGTCCAGACGCGTGTGTCCCAGGCACCATCGCAACATTTTCATCTCCATGGATCCATAGGCTCTTGCTTCGTCAGCTGTCATCTGTTTCGTTTCTGCTCCATAAACAGCTACCGGCCTCACGACTGAGGTGTATATTTTGGACTTTAGGCGTATTGGCATTTTCTTGTCACAAAGGATACAGGTGACCGTTCGCCATTTGTTCCATGCTGCATTGATTCTGGCAGTCGTGTCGGCTTTCGTGTCAGTTTCCGCAGAGAGCATGGATCCGAGGTATGAGAATTTAGCCGTCTTTGGTAGGGGAGTTCCAGCTACAACAATTGACGATTCTGTGACCACCGTGCTCATGTATTCCGTCTTGTTAATGTTGAGCTTGAGTCCATGATCATCGAGTTGTTTCTTCCAGCGGTTGACACGTTTTTCTAACTTTCTCTTTGATCGATCCATAAGCAGCACATCGTCAGCGTAGCCCAGTGTCAGAGGCGGCTCCTTCCGGATGTTTCTCGTGGCGTAGTCCATGCAAAGGATGAAAAGTAGTGGTGAAAGGGCTGATCCTTGATGGAACTCCGACGGTTACCGGAAACTGTGGGGTGTCTCCTACTGGTGTCCAACTTTGCCATTAGTTCCCTGTACGAAAAAATTTCGAGCAGTTCCTTGCAGGTTTGGGCAGTAGTCGTCCATGTATGAACATGGTGCCCGTAATGCACGTGTCAGGCTTTTTCGCGGCAAACAGGCGTGATATTCGTGTTCAGGAGATCAAACTACCCTTGGAGATAAGTTTCCTACCGAATCTGAGATTTTGACCCAACCCTAAAATTTCATGAGGTGAGTCCTTTGGCTGCGCAGGAGTCAGGACTGCGTGCAGTGTGTGCATTGCACGCAGTCCTGCCTCGCAGGGGAGCATGCCCCGTTCGGAGCTGCACTTATCTGCGGCAGTACCATCACCTTGTCATACTCCGCTTTCTACAGCGATGGCGCTCCGTACAGTTGACGACCACATTCTCGTCGTGGCTCTCGTCGTGGAGGGCGCAGAGAAAACGACGAAAACAAATCGATAACATGTGGCACTGCGCGCCCCACCGCGAACGCGCTTACGGTGGAACCTAGGAAACCGTCATGAGAAATCGTTTCTGTCTACGTCATCAGTTGAAAAGCAGGTACACTGTAGTTCGCAAAGGCTCGATGTCGTGACGTTAAGAGATGCCTGACCGCCTGTGTCATGGTTGAACGTCTTCATGTAAAGCTCTAGGGAATGAAGGACTGGGTTTCTCTTGAGCGAGGAAGATTCATCGTACCACTCTTGCTCGCTACTGGGACGAGTGTAGACGGTGACGCGATCGTGAGCCCATTGATTGATTGATTTGATGCTTAACGGGCGACCAGTGATAGTTGGTCTTGTAGGTTCCATAGAGAGAATGTCAGCAGTCACGTAACCTCGGCTCAAATCTCGCGCCATGTGACGCGTGACATTTCCTCGTTTTTTTTGCAACGATTTGCTTTTTTCCAAAGTCCGATTTCATTTTTGATAACCTAAAGAAGAAGCGTTGATAACTGTCAAACAGCTCGTTCGAGGAATATTGAGAAACATGCGGTGGTGTTTTCCTTCAGAGCATTGGAAAAACGACCTATTTTTTACGGATCGAAAATGAAATTTTTGACGTTTCTGAGCTGAAATTTCGTGATTGTATCCAAATTAAGCGACTCTTCAGCACTGTATTCCGACACTTTTTTTTTCAGAAAATTTCTGAACTACGAGTTGAACAATTCACGGGTGGCTGTATCATTACGGAGAGCTGTGCGGGAGGGGGTGAGGGTGGGGTGGAGAAGGGCAAACAACTTATTCTGCATGGCGCACACCATCGCACAGCATACCTCTTACAGCAGCTCATTTATTAGATCTCGTCCATAGGCAAAAGCAGGCCTTCCTTTACTGCTCTCACCGGCTTCAGAATGTGACGTCATTTGCGTTGAGTAGCTCTGTATATGCAGAACTCCTTCCGATCGGTGTTTCAGATAATGTCGTTGGTCCACAATCTGTAGAGGACTCGAAGCTCTACAGATTGTGAACGAGTTCGAACCGTACAACCGCGCTCCCGTGGCAATATCTTGCTGCGTTGATGTGGAAAACCGATAAAAGGCTTTTTTCATAGATTAGAATATGCTCTTCAATCTTCAGTTGGGAGCATTCGATTTAATTCAGCAAAGTCTTGAAGAGCATGATTAATTTTGAGCGCTATCGCAAGAGGAGTGGGCATTGTGGTGGTAATGCATTCAACCGTAAAGGATTTACTTTTCTTTTTTAGCAAAACTAATCTTTAGGCGAGGAGAAATTTTCTGAGTCTGGTCCATATACGGTCACATTGATTGTAATGGAGGTATAGTCATTTATCTCCTCAGAGAAACAAGATACCGACGGGCAAACTCACAGGATTTCTAAGTTTGGTTGTTCAGAACGAGGCAGACATTTGATCACTTAGATGATTTTTTTTCAGATGATTTTGATCCACACAGATGCTTTGACTGATGATTTTGCGATACGAATGAGGCATGGCAGCAGTTTTTCATGTCGTTTATTCGTTTTGTCCGAATTTCTGATTGTACATATCTGTCTATGTTTATTCCCATTTAATAGCTGGGTATCTTACCATTCTTTATTTTTTCAAACTTTTCTCATCTTTGTCGCTCGAGGACCTTTGCTGGGGTGCTATCCTATTTGCTACTCATTAGTATATATTTCTACAGAGAGGAGCATAAACTTTTTAACAATTTCATTTTTGGTTTTTCTGTAACCTGGGCATTTCGATATTGTCTTGCTTCTTTTGTGCCATACAGGTTGTT